GAGACCTCAGCCTGCTAAATAGCTACGCGGGGACCTTTCCTCGTGGCCAGCTTCTTAGAGGGACTGTTGGACGACTAGCCAACGGAAGTTTGAGGCAATAACAGGTCTGTGATGCCCTTAGATGTTCTAGGCCGCACGCGCGCTACACTGATGAATCCAACGAGTCGCTTGCCTGGGTCGAAAGGCCCAAGTAACCTTCTTAAGGTTCATCGTGACGGGGATAGATTGTTGTAATTATTGATCTTGAACGAGGAATGCCTAGTAAGCTCAAGTCATCAGCAAGTGCTGATTATGTCCCTGCCCTTTGTACACACCGCCCGTCGCTCATACTGATTGAATGGTCCGGTGAAGTGTCTGGATTGCGGTGATCTCGGCGGTTTTCCGCTGGGGGTGCTGTGAGAAGTTCATTGAACCTTATCATTTAGAGGAAGGAGAAGTCGTAACAAGGTTTCCGTAGGTGAACCTGCGGAAGGATCATTGACACGTGAATGGCCGATCTTCGGGGTGTGCGACGCTGGCTTGCTTGCCCTTCCGCCGCCGTTTGCCCCCATCCTCCCTGCATCCGCTTTTCCTTCCGTTTCAGCACCATCTTGGGCTTAGTGCCCAGCTGGCGGCTGGCCCGGTGCAGAGGGGCACGTGGTGTAGGTCGAGGGTGGGGGGAGTGGGCAGGGTCCCGGGCCTTGTGGCGTTCCTCGCCCTTCATCCCGTCTCGCCTCCGCAGGTTGTTACCTCGGCCCAGCCCCACTCTCGACTTCTGGTCGGGATGGCAGTTTGTCTGGGCACAGACAGCCCTGCGGGAGGGTCAGGGGCGGGATGTCGGGTGGTGGTGGCTGTCCTCGGCCTGCGTAGCCCCGCTCCTTCCCGTCTCAGCTTTGTCCAGACCTCCTTTCCATCCCGGCCTTAACCTCGGCTTCGTGCGGAGCTTGTGGCTTGTTTGGGGATCGAGGGTCGAGCTACAGGCTAGGGGCGGGGTGTGTTGCGGGGTCTTGGGCCCTCCCCGATTCGTCCGGCCTACCTTCCCAACGGGGTTCTCCTTTCCGGCAGATCGTCGTCCTAGACACAGTCGAGGTGGTCTGAATCTCGGGGTGGAGGGTCGTTGGGGGAGGGTTTTGGTCGTGAACGGGGTGCTGTCGGGTTTGGGGGGGGGGAGGAGACAGCGCTTGCACCCTCGTTGCCCCGCTGCTCCCCTGTGCCCTGCCCGGCCCCCCGAACAGGGGGTCGGGCGGGCCCGTGGCAGTGGCTGGTGGCGACGGCTTTGCAACTTCTTATTGATGTGCCTGCTCTGATTTGTCGCTGTCCGGGTTGACAGCCCCCTTCTGTTCTGGTCGAGGGGTCGGTCCTGTCGGAACGGCACTATATTGTAGAACTCTCGGCAAACGAATATCTTGGCCCTCGCAACGATGAAGAGCGCAGCGAAATGCGATACTGAATGTGAATTGCAGAAATCCGTGAGCCATCGATACCTTGAACGCACGTGGCGCCCAAGGCTTCTGCCGAGGGCACACCCGCCTGAGCATCATTGGATTCCTCACGACCTCAGCACCTTCCGWTTCGGAGAGTGGTGGGGTCCGTTGTCGTGGCTTCCCTCGCTTCCCACTTGGAGAGCGTCGATAGCCTAAAGTGGAAGGGAATTGGAGAGCAWTCCGAGCGGGCCTGTGGGGGCCGCAGCCCAGAGTGGTGCTTTTCGCTCCGCCCTATTGTTGCCCTCCAGCACCCGTTTGTGGGTGGTGGTCTTCGTTTCCCTGAAAACGGCACGTAAGGTCGTCCCTCCGGTTTGTGTGGTTGCCGCCTTCCATTCGCTCCCATCAGCTTGAGGTGGGCTTGCGATTGGGGGCGTGGGGGGTTTCAATCGCTCCCCACTGCAATGCCGGTCACAGCAGCCCATGCTGGCAGGCACCCCACATCCAACAAGGGGGCCGACAACACTATCGCCGCCCACCCTTGCCCTGACGGGAGCGCACGACTTCCCCTCCATCCGCTTCTCGCTCGGCCATTTCAAGCACTCTTTAACTCTCTTTTCAAAGTTCTTTTCATCCTTCCCACGCGGTACTTCTTCGCTATCGGTCCCTCGCACATATTTAGCCTTGGATGGGACTTACCACCCAATTGGGGCTGCATTCCCAAGCAACCCGACTCTTGGACAACACCTCGTTGCGCAACAGGGTCCGGCGGTCGACGGGGCTGTCACCCTCTTCGGCGTCCCCTTCCAGGGAACCTGCACACGGCCCGCTGCAGAGCTTGCATCTCAAGACTGCAATTCAGGAAGCAACACAGCCCTCGGATTTTCTGTCTGGGCTATTCCCGGTTCGCTCGCCGCTACCAAGGGAATCCTCGTTGGTTTCTCTTCCTCCGCTTAGCGCGGCCATCACGGCAGTCGAGGACCTTGAGCACGCGCATCTTTCGGCGG